GACCTACTGGAGCCCGCATGGATCCAAGATTCACCCAGAAAACAGTTAAGTTTGGTGGCGGAATCATCATCAAAAATCATGGTCTAGGGTTACATCCAGTATGGGGCTGTGCAAGACATTTGCAGGGTGGAAGGCAATATCAATAGCCTAAAATATCAAGAAGTATTAGCTCTTACATTCCCAACCATAAAAGGGGTCAAATTTTGCAGCAGGATGGTGCTCCATTGCAAACTTCTATCTCTACATCAAAGTTTCTCAAGGCGAAGAAGATCAAGGTGCTCCAGGACTGGCCAGCCCAGTCACCAGACATGAACATCATTGAGCATGTCTGGGGTAGAATGAAAGAGGAAGCATGGAAGGCAAAACCAAAGAATCTTGATGAACTCTGGGAGGCATGTAAGACACTTTCTTTGCTATTCCTGATGACTTCATCAACAAATTGTATGAATCATTGTCAAACCGCATGGATGTGTCCTTCAAGCTCATGGAAGTCATACAAGATATTAAATATGGATCTCACAACACCACTACTTAATTCACTGATGTTATGCAACATATTTTTGTATTTGAAGTAAATTATGTGTTCAATTTTCTGTAGGCGACAAAACTTTTGTCTTGCCAAAATCTGACCTTTCTGTGTTCATTAAATGATCAATGTTTCTTCAGTGAAGCAAATTTATTTTAGTATATTGAGCATAGTTTGGGAGGGTTTTAGCTTTCATATGAGACATTTCTAAAACCAATCGATTAATTTAAAGTCAGGTTATAAGCTTTTGTTTCTACAGAATGGATAAGCGACAAGACTTTTGTCAGGGACTGTAAACTGTTCAAATCCAAAATTCAAATCATTTCACAACATTCAAATCATTTCACTTTTTGAGATGATCCTTCTGCCTGATGACCAGAGGGCAACCGGTGCAAACCTTGCCAAAACTCATACTGTTGAGTCCTTGAGCAATACACTTGACCACACTGCGCTCTCCAGGCACAGAACACTGGCCCAATACTGGAAGGGCATCTGGTCTAAAAACTGACGAATCACATCAAGCTACTGATTAGTTGTGGCGACCAAAACAGACAAAAATATGACGTTAAAAAAATAAAAATGTATTGGGCACATTACAGAAAATTACACATGTACTGGCTTGTTTTCTCTGCAGCATTTTAGGCAATTTGACAGTAATTTAGGAAAGAACTAAACCAGAACTAAACCAGAACTAAACCAGGACTAAACCAGGACTGAAGCAGGACTAAACCAGGACTGAAGCAGGACTAAACCAGGACTGAAGCAGGACTAAACCAGGACTAAACCAGGACTGAAGCAGGACTAAACTAGGACTAAACCAGGATTAAACCAGGACTGAACTAGAACTAAACCAGGACTAAACCAGAACTAAACCAGGACTGAAGCAGGACTAAACCAGGATTAAACCAGGACTAAACCAGGACTGAAGCAGGACTAAACCAGGACTAAACCAGGACTAAACCAGGACTAAACCAGGATTAAACCAGGACTGAAGCAGGACTAAACAAGGACTAAACCAGGATTTAACCAGGACTAAACCAGAACTAAACCAGGACTGAAGCAGGACTAAACCAGGACTAAAGTAGAACTAAACCAGGATTAAACCAGGACTGAACTAGAACTAAACTAGGACTAATAAACCAGGATTTAACCAGGACTAAACCAGAACTAAACCAGGACTGAAGCAGGACTAAACCAGGATTAAACCAGGACTAAACCAGGACTGAAGCAGGACTAAACCAGGACTAAACCAGGATTAAACCAGGACTGAAGCAGGACTAAACACGGACTAAACCAGGATTTAACCAGGATTAAACCAGAACTAAACCAGGACTGAAGCAGGACTAAACCAGGACTGAAGCAGGACTAAACCAGGATTAAACCAGGACTAAAGCAGAACTAAAGCAGGACTAAATCAGGACTAAACCAGGACTAAAGTAGAACTAAACCAGGACTAATAAACCAGGATTTAACCAGGACTAAACCAGAACAAAACCAGGACTGAAGCAGGACTAAACCAGGATTAAACCAGGACTAAACCAGGACTGAAGCAGGACTAAACCAGGATTAAACCAGGACTGAAGCAGGACTAAACAGGACTAAACCAGGATTAAACCAGGACTAAAGTAAACCAGGAAGCAGGACTAAACCAGGATTAAACCAGGACTAAAGTAGAACTAAAGCAGGACTAAATCAGGACTAAACCAGGACTAAAGTAGAACTAAAGCAGGACTAAATCAGGACTAAACCAGGACTAAAGTAGAACTAAAGCAGGACTAAATCAGGACTAAACCTGGACTAAACCAGGACTAAAGTAGAGCTAAATCAGGATTAAACCAAGACTAAAGTCTGAGTAAAACAGAACTAAACCAGGGCTAAATCAACACATTATAGAGAATTACACATATTTTCCTTTTTTCTCTGCCTTAAACACTTTAGGCCATTTTAAATAACTGGGAGGTTTAAACGTTCATTCAACATCACATGGACTTTCTCTGTGTAAAAAGCTCCCCCCACTGTGCACTCTGTGGTAATACACTGATTTTACACTTTCAAAATGTTAAATTTGCATAAAAAAATATACACAGTCAAACACAAAACTGACACGAATGAACCCAGTCGCACCACAGACTAAATAACTGTGATTTCTGGGCTTTTGGAAGCTACTGTGAAAAAAAGATGATTTCAGCTTCATATATTTCTTCTGACAAACGCTGAACTTTGAGCCAGTTTTTGTTTCGTGTGGATAGGCCCAGGAATGACAGAGATATGAACCACAAACCAGGTCCACACATCTGCGATCTGACACTTACACACAAACTCCACCTGATTCTGGATTCAGGATTCTGACCTGTCTCAGATCAGTTAGTCCTGGTCTAGTCCTGGTTTAGTCCTGACTTAGCTTTGGTTTAGTCCTGGTTTAGTCCTGGTCTAGTCCTGGTTTAGTCCTGGTCTAGTCCTGGTTTAGTCCTGATTTAGCCCTGGTCAAGTCCTGGTCTAGTCCTGGTTTAGCTCTGGTTTAGTCCTGGTCTAGTCCTGGTTTAGTCCTTGTTTAGTTCTGGTCTTGTCCTGGTCTAGTCCTGGTTTAGTCCTGGTTTAGTCCTTGTTTAGTCCTGGTCTAGTCCTGGTTTAGTCCTGACTTAGCTTTGGTTTAGTCCTGGTTTAGTCCTGGCCTAGTTCTGGTCTAGCTCTGGTCTAGTTCTGGTTTAGTCCTTGTTTAGTCCTGGTCTAGTCCTGGTCTAGCTCTGGTTTAGTCCTTGTTTAGTCCTGGTTTAGTTCTGGTCTAGTTCTGGTCTAGTTCTGGTCTAGTTCTGGTCTAGTTCTGGTTTAGTCCTTGTTTAGTCCTTGTTTAGTCCTGGTCTAGTCCTGGTTTAGTCCTGACTTAGCTTTGGTTTAGTCCTGGTTTAGTTCTGGTCTAGTTCTGGTCTAGCTCTGGTTTAGTCCTTGTTTAGTCCTGGTTTAGTTCTGGTCTAGTTCTGGTCTAGTTCTGGTCTAGTTCTGGTCTAGTTCTGGTTTAGTCCTTGTTTAGTCCTGGTCTAGTCCTGGTCTAGTTCTGGTCTAGTTCTGGTCTAGTTCTGGTCTAGTTCTGGTTTAGTCCTGGTCTAGTCCTGGTCTAGTTCTGGTCTAGTTCTGGTTTAGTCCTTGTTTAGTCCTGGTCTAGTTCTGGTCTAGTTCTGGTTTAGTCCTTGTTTAGTCCTGGTCTAGTTCTGGTCTAGTTCTGGTTTAGTCCTTGTTTAGTCCTGGTCTAGTTCTGGTCTAGTTCTGGTTTAGTCCTTGTTTAGTCCTGGTCTAGTCCTGGTCTAGTCCTGGTCTAGTTCTGGTCTAGTTCTGGTCTAGTTCTGGTCTAGTTCTGGTTTAGTCCTTGTTTAGTCCTGGTCTAGTTCTGGTCTAGTTCTGGTTTAGTCCTTGTTTAGTCCATGGATCACAGCTGGTGAAGACATTTTTGTTATAATAACAATAAAATATCATTAATAATAAAAATTGTGAGAAAATCCTGAATCACATTTACATTTTTCTCATTTAAACCAGGACAAATGCAGTTAAAAGTCATCCCACACTGAACCAAAGAGCGTTCACACTTAAACACACCACATCAAAACCAGAACGAAACCAGAACTGAACCAGGACCAGAGCAGGACCAGAGCAGGATCCTGGTTTAGTTGTGACTTTCCTGTTTTGTTGCTTTCCTGTTTTTACATTTGAGCATTCTAAAGACATCAAGTTTGGATTTGAATTGTTAATTGCCATGGCAACAGTCCTAGCTCTCATCATTCTGAAACCCATAGATTAAGTTTTCCCGTCTGTGCATGGTTGAGCAGCAGGTGGCGCTGTTCAGGCTACACTCAGGTCAGCGACAAGGAAATACAAATATGGACATGTCTCTGCACTGCAAAAAAAAAAGTCTACATGAGTTAAACACATCTTTGAGGAGTGTGGACAAGTATTCCCCAACTGGACGTAGATTATTTGGTTCATTTGTATGTTTTGGGGAGATTTGTGCCTTTTCTACATCTCAAATTAAAGCCCTACTCTGTTAGCCTGATTCATGAGCCGGGGTTTCACTTCCTAGAAACCGTCTGACCTTGCAGTGTTAGAATTCATTCGCTCGACTGTATATATATATATATATATATATATATATATATATATATATATATATATATATATATATATATATATATTTTTTTTTTTTTTTTAAAGAAAGAGTTCATCAATTAAAAAAGATTTCTGTTTCTCTGCACAAATATTTGAACTTATTGTTATTTTTGAGGTTTATATATCATGAGTTCTGGCCCCTTTGGGATCAAAGTACATGTAGGTTGGATACGGCCCCTGGACCAAAATGAGTTTGACACCTCTGGTTTAGTGTATTCTGATTCTTGACCTAATCACTGGAGAGAAATGAAATCCAGCGGAGGCACTAGGTGGAGCCAGACTGACTACTACTATGTAACATTTCAGCCAAAACACAGACTACAATAAAACATTTATTTCTTCATGGCTAATTTCATTGCATTGAGAAAAAAAATAAAACAAAAACATTCTTTACAATCTCCACAGACGTGACGTGTAACTTGACCTGGCAGAGGGTAAACCACTTCTTTGTTTCTACGGAAATCTCATTGATTGGTCTGAAAGGTTACCAAGAAAAACAACAAAACTCTCATTTCCGCGGTGAGTGTTCCAGTCTACAGATTTGTACGTACGCCCACCACTCGAAATGTTATGCAGTGCTGCTTTAAATTCTGACTAATCTGGCAGCTGCATTAGCCAGATCGAAAAGAAAGCTCGAACTCACCGGAAAACTGCACTAAAAAAGTTCATGAAGCTTTCCTGAATTTGCTTTCAAATGATCTTGAGCTCTCAGTACGTATAAAACCACATATTATTGAGTTCTTACCACTTAGTATTGAAATCCTTTTTGTACCGTGACAAAATTAAGGCCTAAACAAAAAAAAACAAATATTAACTTTACAAAAAAAGTGCAATACTTTTTATTTAATCACATCTAATCCAAATGAACCAAGTATCTGATCTTTTGCAGCAGTACTTTTCTCTCATGTAGATGTTCCGTTAGTTTTGCAGTGTGTACGCTTTGTTTTTAAGATATAAAATTCCAAGAAACCTTTTACAGAGCGACTTTATAAACTCAAAGTGGCTTCACCCAAAACCTTTCTCCTTCACAACACATTGACCAAACCTCCGACGTTAAAGAAGTAAAGAGCGCTGCATTAGTAAGATTCAAATCAGGTTTTCTTAACGATTGAGGCATGACATGGTTACAGTACAAAACAGGTCATTTACACTGCGTTTGACGACGCAACGCTGCGTTCACGTTTACAAATCAGGTTGTTCTAATAATCTTGAGGTGTAATGGTAAATGTGTAAAATCTCTTTTGGGTAATATACAACTTTCTGAAGCTATAAAGTTGCAAAATGATGTCGCTTCCGGGTCCAGGTAGTTTGTTTTTATTCCTTATTCATAAAAAAAAAAGAGAAAAGCCTAAGTTTAATCACAACCTGTATCAAATCGGTCAATAAAGTAGTAATAATCACTCATGACCACAGACCCATGTGTATGACCTAAAAAAAAAAAAAAATTATTGTAACACATTCATTGTTTTCACTGTGGTGGACCCGGACGTGACATCATGCTTAAAGGTGCACTGTGTAACTTTTATGGTACAAGTCCAGCGTCCATGGAGATATGCTCGGGAGATTGAACCACAGAATGACATTAAACTTTCAACAATACCTTGAAAAATATGTATTCTACTGCAATCGGCCCGCCTCTCCACAAATCCGACTTGTTTAATCCGACTACGTTTAATATCACACTGTGAAAAATTCTAGGCAAAGCAACAACATCTCCATGGTAACAGACTCTTCCCGCAGTTAGAGGTGTGCAAAAATATTTAAATATCGATATATCATCTCGTTTAATTTGATGATAAAATAACGACATCGTGGGCTGCTGTATCGATATATCACTAAGAGGATTTTTAGGTACCGTATTTCTCGGACTATGAGTGGCACTTTTTTTGATGGTTTGGGTGTTTCCAGGGACTTATACTTCGGTGTGACTTATATATTACAATTTTCAGACTGACAGCCGTGAGAGTCTCTAGGATTGTGTGTCAGTATCTAGTATTACTATTACTCCTGTACCACTGTCACTTCACTCTACTTTGCATGTCTCCTGTAGAAATAGCTGCTGTCTCGCTGCAAATAGTGAAATCTGCAGCTGAAAATGGTAACTAAGCAGCAGAAAGAAAGTTTGGAGTGAGTGAGAAACTTGTGAGGGACTGACGGAAAGCGAGGATGGAGAACACAACTTCACGGCAACGGGGAGGATGCACCATGAAACTTTCCTGAAGTCACTGGATGAATCTCCAAAGCCTGGACTTCAGTGACACCGAAACCATCCTGTCAGGATTCAGAAAGACCAGAATAATTGTAACTGGAACTGATACGGAGTCTGACGACAGCGACACAGAAGAGGAAGCGGCGCTCTGTTTACCTCATGGATCTATGGTTTATCTCTGGAGGTCCCACAGAAGTGACACCAAGGATGAAGAATTTAGTGGATTTAGTGATTTGGAGTGAGATGGAGAGTTTGGTAAACTTATGTTCTGTTGTTTATGCTGTAATTATCTGAATAACTGTTCATATGTCACGTTAACATATTAACAGTTCACATATTCTGTCATTACTATAACTTGCCTTTCAAGGTGAAATGTCAGTTCCTGGTCTCTGATTTTACAAAATACATTTCCCAAAAAAGTGTGACTTATATATGCTTTTTTCTTCTTCATTGTGCATTTTTTGGCTGGTGCGACTTACTCCGGAGCGACTTATAGTCCAAAAATACAGTATATTTACAAAATGATTTCATGTTGTTGACATTTTCACAGTTTTGATGAGTAAAATAGGTGTTTTTCATATTAACTATGCACAAACTTAGTGGACTTTTAGTATCAGAGCCATGATTTAGCCTTTTTTTTCCCACCATACTGAACAGCTTTGAAATATATTGCGTCGAAAGTGCACTGTATTGAAAAAAGTATAATATCGTGGCCTATATATCGTATCGAAAACTTCTTAATGATACCCAGCCGTACACACAGTGCACCTTTAACTACTCTATAGTAAATACAATTGTTTCACCTTAAGTTCATATTTATACCGACAGAGAAGATGCTGAACTTTGTGCCAGTTTTTGTTTCATGTGGATAGGCCCAGTAATTACAAAGATATGAACCATAAACCAGGTCAACGAATCTGCAATTTGACAATAAAACAACAAATTCCACCATAGAATTCTGTATTTAAGACCTTATGGCATAAACTCAAAGTACTGCAATGTGAAAGTATCAGGCATTTTCCGTTCAGTACAACTTTACAAACATGATTCTTCTTCCCTGCTTTAAAAGGCACACTGTATAACTTTTCTGTATGCCATAATCAAATAAAATGCAAGGTAAATGCGTTTAATGCCATACTTTGGAACATTCCAGGCAAAGCATAGCATTTCCATGGAAACCAGCTGGTGCCGGGCAATCAGAAAAGTTACGTAGTGCCCCTTTTACAATGAAAACTGTGACGGTGAGATCAGGAAAAGTCTCTTCGAAATGAGTTCCGTGACGACAAAAGTAAAACTCCAAGATAAATTATAACCGACTCAAAACAGACAAAAATGTGCAGAATTGTTCTTTTTTTTACGAAGCTTTGGCCCTATTCCAATGTGTGCAAGAGGGACCGCGGATAGAGCCAGTCCGAAAAGAGGAGAGAGAAACCAGAGACTCTACCATCTCGCTGTCCCAACACACGAATACAAGTCAGTGCTCGACCAATCGGACAGAATAAAAAATATATTATTAAAAAAACAGAAATGACAAAACGAAGAGGAATCCGCAGCAGAGGTGGGGCTCAGTCGATCTTGACGGCGGCGTAGATTTTCCGGATAAACATGTACGCCGCGTAGAATCCGATCGTCCCCGTGAGCAGCCAGAAGGAAAGCACCATCAGAGCGGTGTATCCGAAGTACAGGAGCGAGGGGATGAACTCTACGATGTCCAACTGGGAAAGACGGAGAGAGAATAATGCTTTTTACATCTTTTTAAAAATATTCTATTCATCATCATCATCATCTTTATTCCGGACTCATGGTCCATTTTTAAAACAGACAAGGACAGTGACATTACAAAACAACAAACATTTATGTTTTTAAAAGACAACCACACCAGTGTCTCCACATACACACGCATCAAGAATCTCGGACTTCCAGTCTGGCATGCGCAATGCATACTGGGAAGGAATTTCTGAAAAAGTGAGCATCAAACCGCCATGTTTGTTTTCCCAGTGGGATGTGTCTATTGTCAAAGTGGAGAAATTAGTTTGCGAACTTCATAACTGCAAAAGGGAATCAGATGTGTGTGACTGCAAACCTCTGTTCAAACTGTTTCCCTGTCCAACGGAATTGAAAAATAGTGAAAGGTGAAGGTGATGGGCAGGATTGAGCCATTCCCAGTATGCATTGCACAATGATTGGAAGTCCAAGATTCTTGATGCGTGTATTGGACTGTTATCTTATTGCATAATAAGTGGTTTAACAAAGACTTTTAATATCACAGCCATGATTTAGCCTTTATTTTTTATTGAACAGTATCGAATTGGTTTGAAATATATCGTATTAAACTGAAAGTGCACTGTATCGAGATATGTATCGTATCGTGGCCTTTGTATCAAGGTATGTATCGTATCAGCAACTTCTTAATGATCCCCAGCCCTAGGTCAGACAATAGTGGAATATGGGCCCATTAAAGAGGGTCAGCTCATACAAACACTGGCGTCTGGCATTTGACTCAATCATAACTTGTTTTTAGAGATCACATTGCAAGCATAAAAAAACATTAGCTTTTTGTTAGTGCTTGAAATAGTGCATTTCCTTCCTTCACTGTGAGGAAGTGCCTAGTTGAGAGCATGTTTTTGACTGTACTTGATTAGATTACATAACATTCATTTGTGTGCAGTGTAACCTCAATCACTTTTTGTTGGTTTCTTTGTGGCACTGCATTTTTAACAGGTGCAAACAGACACACCACTGTACAATGTCTGAACTGGTTCTGTGGACCTCACACCACCTCCTTGTCTTTCTCTCTAAGCCTCGACAAATTCCCATCATACCTCAAGAGTCTTCTGACACACAGTGCAATAGCTTAGTGAGAAATTACCTTGTTGACGAAGTAGAAAATGGCATAAATCAGAACATAAAAAGCCGATCCTCCAGAAACAAGGAACGTCCTCCACCACCATCGATAATCCTGAAACACAAACAAAAAGGTGTGTTAAACAGTCTGGACTCACATAATACAGACACTATGATCCTATGGGACTGTCTGACCCAAACAACCAACCAACTACTGTGCTTCTCCAGCGGGACTTCAGGGACTAAACCAGAGACTACATTAGAACTAAAAAAACAAAACAAACCAAGAACTAAACCAGAACTAATTCACCAAATCAAAGAGGACTAATCAAACCCAGGCCAACTTGCCACTACTGCCCACACTATTCTGATGCAAATGAATACATACAACATAATAAACAAATAATAATGACTGCACATTTCATCCATTTCAACAGATTGTTTAGGATTAGTACAGCATTTTTTGACAGAAGATTCCAATTTTCAATCTATACATTTTTAACAACCTTCTTTAACTGTCCAAGGTTGTAAATATTGTAATACTTTTTATCAAAAGTTCTAATAGAATAAATGAGAGTGAGCTGTACCTCTGCACAGAGCTGGAAATAGACCATGACGATGCTGATCTGAGAGCAGGACACCACCAGAATAATGAAGACCAGGAAGAGGAACCCAAACAGGTAATAGAACTGGTTCTCCCAGATGGCCTGTGCAACGACGAGACAATCAAACAGAGATTCATTAAGAATGAATGTGAATGCATCTGGAGAAAGAACAGTTCATAAAAGAATTTCATGTTTGACTCTTAGGACGCAGATGATGTTTGTTGAACCCAAATGCAACCAGGCATAGACCATAGACTGCATGGACACAGTTAGCCTACTAACCACAAATGGGAAGTGTTCTTAGGCACGCTTCCAGCTCCATCCACTCTGGCTTTAACTTTACATTGAAAAATTATCACCCCTTTTTCTCTAAGTGTTGCAATGAACCTTGACATTTTGGTCTTCAAATGTTCGTATTAAGCTGCTGACCCTGGTGTTTTTATTTAGATTTTTTGTCCATAAATAAATACCTATTCTAAACATGAATCTCAGCTCCAAAATTACCCCTATAACTACAAGCATCAATGAGCTTCATTTGTCTGGAGCCAAATGCTATAGGTGACATCACACCCATTGTCCACTTTTTTATAGTCGAGGGTGTAGACCAGGACTAACCAAATCTGATGATGATAATACTGATGAATCTGAGGTACTTTTTAGAGACTAGAAGTTCATCAGAGTTTTGAATTTGGACTGTTTTAGATGTTTAAAGATAAATTAGATCATTGTGATTTGTATGATGCATGGCTGTATGGAATGTTGTCAGAGATGCCTCTGTGTAAAGTGGCTGTTTCAGGTCTTCTGTACCCGCCCCAGGACTCAGATGTAAAGGCGCTTGAGCTAAATCAGGTACAGAACATCTTATCTCTTTGAGAACAATGTATTCTGTGCACTGTCCTTGTTTTAAATAAACTATTGAAATGAATCTAAAGTTACAAATGTAATTATTCATTTCTGTTACTGTTCTATTTAATCCCTACTGACTGCTAGGCCTGTCACCATAAATATTATATCGAGTTATCCTTCAATTTTTGAGGTCAGTATTTATCATGGGGATTTTTTCTTTGCACTAGAGGGAAATTTGGATTATTTTTCTGTACCATGACCAGGTTTGAGCTGTAGAAGGCTGAATTCTGAACTCCTATAACTCATTAGGGATACAAACACACTTCTTGACTCTTGCATTCTTGTCATTTATTTGTTGCACTTCATGTTTTTTAACAATTTACATTTGATCTTGGGTTTTTGTGTCAAATTATTTTCAATATTATCGTCTAATGCCTGTATTTACTTCCTCCATACATCACATTTCAAAATGTGTTATTGTGACAGGCCTACTGACCACCAGAGGGCGGTGTTGAAAGCACTGAATATTCTCTGCACATGTGCAAAAGGAATCACTGAGTGCTTTCAACACCTCCCCAGTCATGGTCAGTACACATGAAGCAGCACAGGGCAAAACTATACATCTGTAAACTCACCACAGATGAACATGGTTTAGTATTTTATCCAGTGATTCTTCTGTCAGACTTGTGTTTCTTATATGTTACATGTTCATGAAAGTGAAACTGAACAGAGCTCATGAACTTACACTGAAAATGAAGAAGAGCTCGATGAACATGGCTCCAAAAGGCAGGATCCCGGCCATGAGGATTCTGCAGGAGGAACAGAAAGCACTTTTAAAATCTATTCTCTTGTGTGTTCTGATGTGCTCTGGATGTCCAAACATCTTCAGACTCACCCCACAAACTTGTTCATGTACCAGCGCTGCTCGGGCACCTGTCGTGGGATCTGATTGGTCCTGACTGGATTATCGTACGGCTGTTTCCTGAAGCCAAAGTAATATCCCAGATACACTAGAGGCATGGAGATCCCAAACCACATACAGAGAAGAGCCAGCATCGTCGTGAAGGGAACCTGGGAATGATAAACAATAGAAATATTAGTAACATGATAAGAATTCTAAATCACAAATGCTCTAGCACTCTCATTAAGGGCTCAGAGTGAAGGCAAACAGGCAATGAATAGTCTGTGTTTTGACAGGACGTCATTATTTGTAAGATGTATTGTTATTAAAAGGTATACTAAGTTTGCATGACAGTGCCATCCCTTAGTGAGTCGGATGGCATTGTCAGGCAAACACTATTTAGCTCTTCAGGTGGGGGTCTGCCATATGTCTCCATGGAGGTTTAATAACTTCATGTCATCACCTGCTCGTCTCCATAGAGATGTGAACTGTTCCAGGAAAAGCTTCAAAGTTTTATTACATCCAATTACAGACCTACTCTCAATATCGGCTGAATAATAAGTCCAAAATATCCCATCCAGCAAATTTTACAGTGTCAGTGCTGATATTTGATATATCAGTATTGGTGCAACCCTACTTTTAACAACAATACAATACAAAGTTACATTGGCTTTTCTACCTTTAAATTATTAACAATTACAGAGGCAGTAAATATTTGCCTAAGTAACCCAAATGTGAGGCAATTAGCCCTAAATAGTTCAATATTTTAGCAAACAACTCTGAGGTTTGAATCCCTGTTAGTGAATTCATATTTAAAAGATTTAAAAATCAGTTTGCCTAATAAAATATAACCATAAACATTAGGATTTCAAATCATGTCAGTTGTATTTTTTCTTACCGCTCCTGATGAGTGCTCGCCCCAAATGAAGCAGTTCAGGACGAAGCAGATTCCAAACACCACAGCAGGATACAGAGTCGCCGTCTAGAGGACAAACATAGAACTACACTTTAGGATCATTTAAATAAAACTGGTGTTTATATTAGGCATGTTTTTAAGCTTACACAGAATGCTCCCTTCTTCCATCTGTGTCCTTTCAGTGTGCGGTACAGACGGCCAGCGAAGTACCCTCCAAAGACACTAGAGGGCACAACACTCGCTCAGTATCAAACACATTTAAGGTGAACGTTATTCGAGTGTCATTGTTTAGATTCTCACCCCATAAACATGAAGAGGAAACAGGCTGTGGTCATGAGAGCACCTCTACTGGACGGAGACAGCATTCCCAACATGGCCACAACTGAAATAGAAAAGAACAGTTAACCCTAAGAAGATATGTGGCAGAGCAAAGTAAAAAACCGTCTGCTGAAATGCTGAAAATCTAATACTGGCACAAAAATCATATCTGAAGAATTGGTGAAAGAAAGACAAATGTTCAAATAATTTCATAATGTCAACATAAAGCTTTTGTCATTTGTAGACTTATAGTAGGAAGAGTAAAAACAGCTTTTACACAAGTAAGAGTACAGTTACAATACAAAAAGTTAAACTCACAGATGACGATGAGGATCATGCAGAAGAGCTGTATGCCAGAGCCCAGGAGAGAGCTGAGGATCATGGGATACTGAGGAGGTCTGAACACGTCTCCATGAACATTCTTCCACCCGGACTCCTCCATAGTGTCCTCCTGCAGAATCACACAGAGGCAGGTCAGATACAGCAGTTACCATGGAGACAATGCACACAGCTCAATCAATCTGAGCGTTCATTGTCTAATGCTGTAGCTTGTGTCTGTAATGTTATTTGAGAGGGACTTGTTAAACAGCACAGATCAGTTCACCTGTTGTAGTTTAGTTATGTCACTTCTTTACGGTCAGATTGTGATCAAATAAAGCTTAGATGAAAGTTTAATTCATGTGACAGAGCTTCAGACAGAGCAGAGCATTCAGTTCGTTTCGCCACTAACTTGTTTTTGATGGTTGGATCCTGAGCTTTTTTGACACTATAATTTCAGTTGTATTAAATAGGGCTGTCGCAGTTAGTGAATTTCTCCTGCGGTGTGGTACAGCGGCTCAACAGCGCGGTATGCGGTGATATCGCACCCCCTCCCCCAACCCACATCCCCCGGAGTTACAATATTTCCAGTGGCTCTGAAAACTCTCTCCGATGATGCACTTGTTGTGCAGATGCACATGTAACTTGGTCGTCGTGTGGATATAGCGTGCGTAGCGTGGGAGAAGTAACATTGTGCCGCTGTATCTCTCCAGCTCTCACTGTGGCAGCTCGGGTCAGAGCCCTGCATCAGCTCGGGTACCTGCGGACTTAAGAGAGAGAGAGCCCCAACACAAGCATGCAGAGCAGATGTCCGCAAAGAGTGATCGGGTGACGGCTGCGTTTATCTCTGCGGCGCAGGGCTCTACACGCCGGTCCTTTTGCCTGTGCTCACCTGACGGTCTATGTGGGTGCATTTTAGTCCTGAGTTAGTCCTGGGTTAGTCCTGGATTATCACAGTCACAGGCGGTAACGGGTGGAATGTTAACGCGTCCGGGTGGGTGCGGATCTCTAAAAATGGACCAGTGCAGGACTCTGGGTTGAGTCACGTTGGTAACGTGCAGTGATCGCAGTGGCCCAACATGCACCGTGAGGTGGGCCTCTTAGTACCGCATTGATTCATTTTTGCGGTTATTACGACAGCCCTAGTACTCAAGTGATACTGGAGGTGGAAACTCTGTATGATTCCATGGAAACTGAAAAGCAAAACATTCTCCATGGAGATAGATATGTTTGATGCCATATTGTGGAATATTATAGCCAAAGGAACATTTCCATGGAAACAAGCAGGAGGTAGCACTCCTCCAGGCCATAAAAGTCAGGTTTGTGGAGATGAAAGCCAACTCACGGTGAGGACACATGTTTTTCAGTGGTTTAAACACACTCATAATGAAAAGACATGTTAGTGTGAATGCAAAAAAAGTCTGATCAAATCTAACTTAGGACTCAGCCTTATTTGAATGTTTTGTGTCAGCTGGAGAACCTTGGTGTTACAGCGATATATTTATTTGCTGGTGATTGCATTAACACTGTGGTATTTGCAGCCCTACAAAAAAACCTGCACTTACAATGTCATCTTCTCTGTTGTAGTTGGCAATGTCCTTCCTGAGAGTCCTGATGATGATCATACTGAGGATACCTGAAACAAAACACAGCCCAAATGAAAACCTAGACCTGGATCATAGCCGGATTTAAAGTCTAAAGTGAGACTCACCAGAGAGGAAGAAGACCACCACCACAGAGTTCACAATAGAAAACCAGTGGATCTGAACATCACTCATGGTCAGATACGTGTCCCAGCGAGACGCCCATTTGATCTCACTCTCCTGAAAAACAAAGTGGGTTATAAAACAAGACTGTGGTGTAATGAGCAAAATACAACTAGAGCAAGGGCAGTAAATGAAAGAAGGGTCTGAAATAGAACCTCATTTGAGCAGGTATCAATACTATGACTGATCTGGAACCTTTTTAAGCACATGACAGGTTCAACTCATTTCTCTCATATAAAGTTAACATCATTAGATCTAAGATTTTACAAAAAAAACTGTCTGGTCTTTTCTACTTTTGTCAATTTGGTGAAGGTTACTTATAAATGATCTTCCTGGTTGGATCTAAATTACACAATAGTTATCATTAGACTAATAAAATACTAAAATGCAACATCTCTGTTTAGTTAAATCAAAAATGCCTGTGTGTAAAATGCATTCTTTGTGTGGAAATTGTCTCTGCATTTTGAATGGAATTGATGACAGCTGACGAAGCAGAGGGATTCTGTTTCAGAACTCAGCGCAAATTTCTGTATTTTCCAACTTTTTGTTTTGTTCAGTATTTTCTGGGCTATAGGGCGCACTCTTAAGCCTCCAACCCCATCAAAAAACGACCGCGCGCCCCACAATCCAGAGCGCCCTATACACGAATCCACTCGTAGTGTCCCAGCACGACTTCAGTAAACTACAAAGCCACAACACCCACAGCGCACGCAAACACACACAGAGCAGACAGTGACCGCACAGCGACAAACACCCACACACACACACTCATCACTCCACACCGACGAGGAACGGAACAGAGGAACGAACCGAAAAAGCGAGTGCAATGTGCCACTTCTAGACACAACTGAACAACTGAGTCACTGCGAACACGCCGACAATCCATTGGTCCCAGACACACCCTCCCTACACGCCACAACTGAACAAAGCCCAGAGTCACCGTGAATGCGCCAAACAAAGTCCCACTCACAACAAAGTCCCACTCACCCATCCAACTGTTGTGTTTCCTTTAAAGTCCGGTGCAGTTTATTTGTGAAAAAAGTTCAAAAATAGACCTTCTATGACAGTGCGCCTTATAATCCAGTGCACCCAATAGCGCGGAAAATACGGTACCTTTCGCCAAAAACTGCTACTTTATTGATTAAAGTTATGATAAATATTTATCTCTCATGCTATGGCACCAAACCACATCATCTGTCAAATGTACTTTAAGATAAGGAAACTGTTATTTGTCCCATAATTGAGAAATGTAAACCTCGCAACTGCACAGTTTAAGCAGCAGCAGAGTTCATTTTGAGAAAAAAAAAAAAAAAAAAGTTTAAGTCTTAATTCTGTGACAAAAATTACTTTTTTGTCAAGATAATCCTTGTTTTAGTTTTAGTGAACAAAAGCGTGGTGCTAATTTAGTCAACTAAGTGTACCGTATTTTCCGGGCTATTAGGCGCATCATTAAATGGTCTATTTTCGAACTTTTTCACGAATAAACCGCACAGGACTACAAATGAAACACAACAGTTGGATGGGTTTTGTTTGTTTGTGGCGTTCACGGTGACTCTGGGCTTTGTTCAGTTGTGGCGTGTAGGGAGGGTGCTGTCTGGGACCACTGGATTGTCGGCGTGTTCACAGTGACTCAGTTGTTCAGTTGTGTCTAGAAGTGGCACATTGAACTCGCTTTTTCGGTTCGTTCCTCCGTTCCGTTCCTCGTCAGTGTGGAGTGATGAGTGTGTCTGTGGGTGTTTTTGGCTGTGCGGTCACTGTCTGCTCCATGTGTGTTTGCATGTTCTGCGGCTTTTTGTAGTTTACTGAAGTCGTGCTGGGACACTACGAGTGGATTCGTGTATAGGGCGCTCTGGATTGTGGGGCGCGCAGTCGTTTTATGATGCGGTTGGAGGCTTAAGAGCGCGTCCTATAGCCCGGAAAATACAGTATACCTTTCAGTCATCCAGAATGTCCGATTTGATGTGAACTCTGATAAATGGTGTATCTGATGCTCTATGGGACATAGACAGTGAGTTTGTTTATGCTCTGGTTTGAGGCTCTGGGATTCAAAAGTGGAAGCTGGATCTAGTTTCTTGTTTTATAAAAATCAGCATTACATTTTCCGTCCCCTAGAAATAGAATAGAAGGGAGAAAACAGAAATAGAGTTTGACATTTCAGTAAAGACATGAGAGCATGGAAACCTGACTGAAGCGTGACGGGACAAATACTGAGATATTATGTTCGGGCTCGAATCATACTTGGACACATAAGCACATCAGCTGTTTCCTTTCTAAGGTAAAACCACTCACTTTGAGACTCTTAACTGTTCAAAAGATCAGAGCCCTACACTTCTAGCTTAGATACAAGTCAAAAGTGTGTTATTATTATTTGTGAAATGTGCAAAACTTCAGATACAGGATTTTTAAAGCATAAAACATACAGTATGTGATATCCTGAGACTATTTTGCATCTCTGTGTCCATTAGAGGAACACAAACAATATCCCCCATGAGTCATTAGGTCTTTGAAAATAGTGTGATTTTAATTGTGTCGGGTTCGGTCGGACTCGGACACAAATATCTTAATCCCCATCAGCCTCGGGTCGAATTCAATCACTGCTCTGTTGAATGCGGGCCGGGCATGGACAGAAAAATTTGGCCCGATCCACACTCTAAAAGACATCCATTTTAACATGAGGCACTGGTGTGTGTAGCTGCTGTAGCAGACGGTGGCACTGACCTCCCAGCGCACAGAGTAGGTGAAGAGGATCTCGTTTTCTTTGGTGGGGTCGATCTCCTGAGGAACAGATCCACTGGCCTCTGGTAATGTGCACGTCTTCAACTTTTCATCTGCTTTCAAATCTGTCAAAACAAAATAGAATGAGATGTTTTGGTCCATAAACCTATCCACAGTTGCCAGAGTGATTAACAAATCAAAACTTCATATTTTATATATTAAACAGGAAAACTTACTCAACAAACAACAAGAATCTGTCCATGCACATGCAGTCAGACAGTATTTTGTATTTAGTTGGAGCCCATCTAATCTATTTGTGATATGCTGCTAATGTTAAAGGTCCTATATTATACAAAATGGACTCTTGTGAGATTTAAGACAGGTTAGAATGTTACCCCCTGAAATATTATTATTATTTATTTATTATTCTGTCTTCAAAGCACAAAATGCTCTGTTACACCTTATGATGTCATGACGCAGAAGTTTCATTTAACAGCTCCTTTTACTTTTTGTTTAGTACAGATTAGAAATTCTAGTGCTGAAATGAACCAAATGATTTTATTGAAGGTATATTGTAGTGTTTTAGTCAAGACCGCACGAATCAAGACCAAGACCTGTCCGAGAACACAGGGTCCCGAGACCAGGACAAGACCAAGACCAAGACCTCTAAGGGTCGAGACCGAGACAAAACCAAGAGCACGGCCCATCGAAACCAATTCAATTTTGAATTTTTGACATTTCCATTTCATCTGATAAATGTTAATTTAAGCTTATAATAAGTCAAACAAACTGTACTGCACTGAAACACTCTGTGCCCCTTATTTGGACCCTCACCCTCAGTTTGTCTGTTCTTTAAGAGAACCTCCACTAGTACTTTACAGAAAACTGTGAGGAAAGTGAAGAAAGTGGGCAGAGTAGGGTATTTTTAAACCATTTTTTTCAAGTTCCTAACTGGAGTTACTGGAGTTACATTCTCTTATTCATTTTGCAGTGGGATTGACCAGTCTCTGTACATTTACCAAACGCACATCGTGACAAATACAGATGCATTTGTGCACTTTTATTAGGCAAACTTCAACCACATGTTGCAGTAGGCCTGCTTTGTGCCAAAACTGTAATGAGATATGATCACAGTGTCAGACCTCGCGTCCGTGGCAAGACCGAGTACAGTAAAAAACGGTCTCGAGTATGATGACACTTAGTGTATGGAGGGTGTTACATGTGTGAATAAAACAAAACACAACTCCAGGTATGTTTGTGATGAGGAAACATTATAAGAGATCAGAAAATTTGCATAATATGTGCCCTTTGAATGATTTTGGCACACTGTTAATTTCTTGTAAAATGTGTATGTGGCAATTTTACTAGGACTTTGGTGGTGCCTAGTTGGGGGCCCGACTTCCAAAGTAGGTCAGACACGCCTACCCATTGTAGTGAGTGTGACCTGGGTGCACTCAGGTGTTTGTATCCAATCGTCAATGTAATTTTGTAATATAAAACAGTTCTCCTAGATTATCTGAGAGTGTGACATATTGAAAAACCCAGAACAAGTACGACTAAGGATAAAGGTGTAAATGTTTACCCTCCACTTTGACGCTCTGGGGGACCACTTCGAAGCGCACCACTCTGTAACTGTGAGTTTCCCCCTCCTCCAGCTTCTCTCTGTGGAAGTACAGGATGAACGACAGGTGGTTGTGCAGGTAATACTGGAAAAGAGAAATGCAAAATACTGTTAAAATACTGCACTCAAACACATGCAAAAATACAGAGAATGTCAACCCAACAGCCAGAAGTGCTGAGAAAAAAATACCTTTACCTCTTTCTATTTACATTTGCCGTACATTAAGCAAACCAACATATCAATCAAAATTTAGCTTTTAGAATTCCACATTCAAATATTATTAAAGCAACAGTATGAAACTTTTTACACAAAAAATAGGCTTAAATAAAAGCATTTATGTTCATATTGGCTGTATCTATTACACTGAAAAACTGCAGGCTCTAATCTCCACAAACCTGACTTTTATTTGGCCTGGAGAAGGGTCTTCTAATGCTTGTTTCCATGGAAATGTTGTTCCTTTAGCAATAATATTCCACAGTGTGGCATAAAACATGTTTATCTCCATGAAGAATGCTCTCAAGTATGGTTTTAATTATTTCCATGGACTCGTGCAGATGTATCTTAAATATTCCTTCTACTTTAAATCCTTAAATATCAAAATAAAATATTGATTGTCCTAGTATTAGTAGTAGCATATTTTTCATTCATTCAGACAGGGTTTATTATAAAACACTGTTGCAATGTTGTATATTAAATGTAAATGTGACATGTTCTGGTATATCCAGAGATTTCCGAGTGATGAGATATTAGCACAGTTGCCATAGCAATTAACAAGTCCTCAAAATCTCACCTATAAACAGGAAGCTGAACTAAAATGATAGTGATTGTGTAACCATTTCTACATCAAGTAGGAGCTCCTCACACCTAGGCAGGACCCCTGGATAGTGTTCTTAAACAGTTCATTCATGCTGAGTGACATCACCTTGTCATTGTCGATGAATCCGATCCTGTATCCGTGCTCAAACTGGATGTCTTTGGCTGCCTCCTTCTTGTCCTCCTCGGCTCCAGTCTCTCTGTTTGGGTAATACTCCAGTCGCGTGGCCACAGGGAGGTTATCTGCAATACTGGAATAAACACAAACATGCTGCTCAAAAATACTGCAGGGAAAAACGATGAGATGTACAAAGCTGTAGAGTCCTCAACCTGTAACTGCATCTTTGACAAATGTGAGGAATCTCTAAATCTCATGTGCTTTCATTCATGCACAATTTCATCACCATTATCATATTATTATGTTGATATAACATATGAACATCTGTTGAAGTAAAGTTACAATTAAATGTTTAAAGGTTCTACATTACACAGGCTTGACTCTTGTGAGCTTTAAGCCATGTTCTAATGCTGTTACCTCTTCAAAAACACACCTGGAGTTGTGTTTTCAATGTGTACATTCCATGTTCCATGTGTGTGGTAATGTGGTATGTAGTGACGGGCAAATGAGACGGAGCTCCGGAGCACGTCTCGTTCTTTCTGAAACAAATCACTCTGAAGCACTGCCTCGGAGCTCGTCTCGCAGCAGCCGCTCACGTGACCAAAGTGTGTCAGTCCCTCTACATGGCGTGATTGACAGTAAAGTTCACTTTGACCTTGACTTTGTTTTGTACCATTCACACATGTTTGAGTCACCTTTTATTATTAGTCTACCTAATCTTAAAATGCTCTGTTCCACCTTGTGATGTCATGCGGTGGTAGTTTTCTAGCAACCTTCTGATTAATCCAAATGTAAAAAATTTCATAATCTGTTGTACACAGATATTAGCACAGTTCTGTAGTTCATCTGGACTCACAGGTGCACGTAGTACTCCTCTTTGATCCTCTCTGCGAACAGTTTACTCTCCTCCACGCTCAGTTTCTTCTTTGGACACACCAGTTCACACTTCTTATCACTCGTCATCTGAACATTGTATAGAGTGTTGACGATACGATCCCCGCGCAAAACCTCACCTGGAAAACACAAGAGGGGCATAAGTTTATAAAAACCTTGTCTTGACATCTTGCAGTGTTTCAATATAGTGCCTTTATTGTCCCTTGTTTTATTCAGTTAAAGGAAATGCACAGTCATCATTCTGCTTCAGTATTTAGAGTCTGTTATTTTTAGGAGTAACTATAGACCATAATTTAAACTGGAAATCACACATAAATACAATTAGAAATAAATTATCCAAAGTGATCGCAATTATATATAAATATAGATATACCCTAGATAAAAACAGTATTTTTATTATATATAAGTCGCTGGTAATGCCCTACATAACCTACAGTATTGAGATTTGGGGCAATACATATAAAACTAATACAAATCCAGTCTTTACCCTGCAAAAAAAGCAATAAGAGCATCACATTATCAACTTATAACGAACCAACCAATATGTTATTTATAAACCTTCAAACTCTGAAATTATATGATTTAGTCGACCTTTATACTCTGAAAATCATGTTCAAAGTAAACAACAATCTCCTGTCAAAATCGTTACAGAACATGTTCAAAATCCGAAAGAGCCAATATGAGCTCAGAGGCACGACCATGTTTATTAAAAAGAAAATCAGAACAAACATTATGAAATTTTGTAAATCTGTTAAAGGGGTGGAGCTGTGGAAGAACTGTACAGAAAACCTCAAATTGTGCACGACTCTCTTACACTTCATAAAGAAGTTTAAATGTTTAACTCTGGACAGATACATGAAATATGATACTTAGTTTGTGCTGTAGTACTTTGTTGTACTGTTACTGATTAGTTTGTTTCCTCCTGCTGTGTTTTTGAAGATGAACTTGTGTCAAGATGACGCTCTGACAAAGGAATAAAGGGTAAAGGCATAATAAGCTTAAGCTTCAGCCCGCACCCTTTCGGTCTGTGTATGTTAAATATGACTGTCTGTGAATTAATGTCAAAATATACCTGTGACCGAAATAAATAAATAAATAAAATAAATGTTATCTGAAGCATCAGGTCCCTCCCCTGGTCTCTTCTGTATACTGAATGTGATCCACAGACGCCAGAGTTACACCATGATATCTTTTCATGAGTCTCGCTCTATATGACCCTGGATTTGCAAATGTGGGTTCTGGTTGCAAATTAGCTGCTATAAAATCCAGCCTCAATTAGCTTCATTTGGCTGGAGCTGAACACTGTGATACTCCGTCAGTCCACTTCTTTGGACAGTTTATGGTTCACACACAGACTGCAACAGGCCTACGTTTTGAAACAGTAGGTGTTTCATCTCTGCGTAGGTCTAGTGGAATCCTTCTCAACATTAGTACGATGTGACTTGTAAAAAGAAACAGATCAAAACCATTCATACCGAGGTTCTCTCCTTTGTACACGATCTGCTCGGGAACACAGAATGGCAGAGAATAGAACTCGAAGGGCAGCTGGGTCCTAGAGCTCGTCAGCTTCACCGCCTGCAAACAGAAAAATCAAATGTATTACTACTACTACTACTATTAGAACTACTATAACTGCTACAACTACTACTACAACTACTACTACTACTACTACTACTACTACAACAACAACAACAACTACTACTACTACAACAACAACTACTACTACTACTACAATTACTACAACAACTACTACTACTACTACTACTACTACTACTACAACTACTACTACTACTACAACTACTACTACTACAACAACTACAACAACTACTAATACTACTACTACTACTACTACTACTACACTACAACAACAACAACTACTACTGCTACTACAACTACTATTGCTACAACTACTACTACAACTACAACAACTACTACAACTACTACTACAACTACAACTACTACTACAACTACTACTACTACTACAACTACAACAACTACTACAACTACTACAACTACTACAACTACTACTACAACTACAACAACTAGTACTACTACTACAACTACTAAGAATGTATTACTGCATACCAATTAGGGCATAAAACATAAAAGGGCTTAATATTTTCACTCTTGTACATCTAGTTTAAGTTGTGTTTTCTTTCATTCACACAGCTTTGAGTAATCCTTTATTATTAGTCTGTCTGCATCTCCAAAGCTCAAAATGCTCAGTGCTCAGAGAAGAGCTCAGTGTAAAAAATGCGGGTTTGTATGTGAATGAAAGAAAACACAACTCCAGGTGTGTTTGTGATGAGGAAACTCGATGAGGAAGCATAGCTCAGTAAACAGTGTCATATGGGCCCTTTAAACTAAACGGAAATATTGACAGACAGATTTGTGACCTTGATGTCGACGCTCTCTCCCTCCCTGAAGTCTCTCGGAGCCACCCCAGGGACGTAGAAGGGCAGAGCAGTGGGCAGCAGGGTTAGGAGCAGCAAGGCCCACCACATCTCCTGCGAACACACAAACAAACAAATAAACAATGAGAGACATGTAAACAAGGAAGAATGAGGTAAACAAGGCCCACCACATCCTGAAACAAACAACAAGACTGAGTGTGTTTTCAAACTGCCATTATTTTGACGGACTGTACATGTATTGTGTAGATGTAGATGTGTTGTGTTTGACTCAGGACATTTGTCTTGATGGTCATATTGTTGATGAATTGTATTTTGGAGGATAATACTGATAAATTTGGTAAATGTATATTTTAGAGCAGGGGTCTCCAACCTTCTTCCTCCGGTGTGCTACTTTTACAAAACGAAAATGTCAGAGAGCTACTAATTTTAGCTGTCACAAAAAATGTCGTATATATAAGATCCACAGCGAGCCTTAGATAAGGTACAGTTAGATGCCTATAAAACATAAACCATTATGCATTTATTAGTACACAAAGTAGGGTATCAAAATGTTACATGTCCCTTGGCGAGCTGCTTGGAAGGGGGTGGAGAGCTACTGGGTTGGAAACCTCTGATTTCTAGAGCGTGATAATGAATTTGAGTATTTTTAGAAGATAATGATGAATTTGAAATCTTGTATTTGTGGAACTTAGAATGAATTTTGATTGTTGAATTTGGTAGTGGTTGTTTTAAGGAAACACTGTTACTGATGAAGTATTGTTGTTAAAGTTGGTTTAATGTAAATAGTTTCTTTAATGTATTTTGTTCCTGCCCAAGAACTGCAGATGGAAAGGAGCTTGTAGTTAAATCTGGCACAGAGCCTCTTTTCTCTCTGAGATTAATGTTTTCTGTGCACTGTCCTTGTTTAAATAAATAATTGAATTGATTCAGGTCAATGTAAAGGAGCATTTGTTTCATCAGCATGAACCCAACAGTCTCATTGTCATTGTCATGAGATCGACTGGTGTTCAATAGTTAGGAATGCTCCGATACAGCTTTTTCAATTCAAATACCAATATCAGTACTTTAACTTTAAGTATCTGCCAGTAGTCGATATGAACAGATACCAGTGCAGGGACTGAAAATGACACTTATTTCCTTAAAACAGTTATATTATTACACAAGAGATCCAGCCGTGATATGTGTGTTATGTTATAGGGATGGGGCAAGATCTCGGGTCACAAAATCTCCTGAGACAAAACTGCCACAAGATTGTGCACACATGAGAAAAATTATCTTGTGAGATTGTTTAACCCTGAATTTCCCTTTGGCTTGGACAAAATGAGAGTTAAGCACTGGTGAGTTGCACAATTTGAGAAAAAAAAAAGTAGCACAATGATCACTAAAGTATTACATCAGATAAATGAAGCCAACATTGTGAAATGGAATGCACTTCTTATTTATTAAAAATGATGTCAAAATCTCATCTTGTCTTATTCTCGTGGACTAAATCTTGTGGTCTGTCTCGTCTATTCCACCACTGTTATCTTATTTGTCTGTCACATCACATCGCTTTTTATGAATAAAAGTTCAAACATAATGAGAGGCCAAAATAACAATTAAAATGTTCTTATTATATATCATTAAAGACCCAACCACAATATCCGTTGAATCAATATCATGAAACCGACAGCAGATCCAGACAATTTTCCAGTATGGGTGCATTTCTAATAAAAGTGTCTCCGATTTTGCAAGATAAAGATCATGCAAGTGTGGAAAATGAGCTTGCAGTTTCACACCAAAGTGCTATAAATGCAGCAAAATATACAATAAAACACATTCAAATCTCTAAGTCTCATTAACATAATAATTGTCCCAAAAAGTTTCACATAAAAAGAGATTTGTTCCAACAATGACAAAAACATATTCCTTAAAGCCACGCTCTCCTTTGCCCTGACGTTCAGCAGGAACAATTTATATGGTTAATGGCTAATCTACATTTGTGACCTGGTTAGGTGATGGTAACTGTGGTCAATACTCATCATAGTTTTACATCAGTTAAGTGGCAGTTTGTGGGAAATTTTTTTAAAGAAAACTACAAAAATACAGGAAGCAGCACTGAGTCGTGTATGTCATCAACACAGAAAACTCCATCCATGATAAAAAGACAATTTACGCACAAACAAGGACTTTATCTGACACTTTAAACCTGTTATGTATTTGTAGTAGTCTAATGATAACTACTGTGTAATTTAGATGAAGTTTGGGTGGGTGGGATAAGTGTCTTGCCCAAAGACACAGCAGCAGCATTCATCTGTGGGAGCTGGAATCGCGCCGCCGACCTTCACATCAGTGGATGCGTTGCCAACTCAAGTCCAACCAATATAATGATGTTAACTATATTTTAGTGACCTAACAGAGTACTTTTTACTACTTTAGAGCACTTTTAGTACTTTTTTTAGAGGCATACTCTTTAACCAGCACATATTTTATGATGCTAAATTTGGTGTTGATTCCAAAGCATTCTGACACTACAGAGTGATTTAACAGTAGCTGCTCCTAAGGCTGCAGTGGTCTAAAGGCAGCCAATCGATTAATCGACTAAAAAGAGTTGTGGCCAAATCTCTCAGAACTATTTTGTATCTGTGTATCTGAAACAAATTGCACTCACAAGACTACACCTGCTCATGTAAAAAACTACTACTCACGCAGAACTAACAAGAGCCACGTTTACATGGTTTGATGGTTTTTGATTATGAATTAATCGTTTTAAATTAAATAGTTCGGAATTAAATTAGTCTCCTTCGAGTTTACATGGTATAATAATTCTGAATTGAAGTTTACATGGAAAACACGTTAAATCGCCTTTATTTAATTCTACTCAGCGTCTGGGGATGGGGAAGGGTTCTGGTTGGACAGAGACACCAACGTATTTACATTGACCGGGAGAAAACACACACTTCAGCTGCTATTGGCTTTTTGTCATCTCGGTTTGTCGTTACGCCACAGACACAAACATGATCCAAACTTTTTCCAAACTTTTTCTGATAATTGAGTAGCAGGTGGAGAATTCTCTCATTACGCTTTACGTCTGTCAGCTGAGGAGGAGAAAGGAAGAGTGTTGGAGACGGGAGAAAGAAAACAAACTGAGTGTGAGGCTGCTCTACCTCAGCCCACTCCCACATCCCGCTCACAAATCCAAAGAGACGTGGATGAAAGTCCGAAGCCAGGACTGGTGGAGCCAGACCATCCGTATCGTGTCAGAAGGACGACCCAATGAGCATGCGCTGAATGACTGACATTATTTTTAAGAAGAATAAAGATTTACATGATCAAGGAATAAATTCATTTGGCTTTAAAATTGGACTAAACCACCCACTTACTTCAGAATTAAGTTTAATTTTGAATAATCATTTTCATTAGGAATTAAGTGTTTACATGGTCTTTTTAAAGCAAAATTAAAAATTATGTTTTATTCACAATTAAATGATTTTTATTGGGAATTAAAGCTTTCATGTAAACATGGCAAATGTATTTACAGTCCCTGACAAAATTCTTATCCATTTTGTAGAAACAAAAGCTTATAACCTGACTTTAAATTAATCGATTGGTTTAAGAAATGTCTCATATGAAAGCTAAAACCCTCCCAAATTATGCTCAATATACTAAAATAAATTTGCTTCACTGAAGAAAGATTGATCATTTATTGTATAAAGAAAAAATCATCTTGTGGATCATGACTTTAATCTGACTTTTTACAGAGAAATACCACAAAAAAAAATCCCAAATCTTCAGCCCACTCATGCTGTTCTCCTTCTGTCCCTATAGAAATCCTTATCACATAAATAACAGGATTAGTTCACTGACACAACCTTTGCCTGAATCCATCAACCGATCAAAAGACTACAGCCCTGGTTTCTCCTCAGCTCTGTTATTTACTTTCACTAGTTCTTTTCACCAACGCGTCTCTGCAGACCTTTTGCACGTCTTTTCAGTAATGCAAAGTTTTTGACATTTGATACCAAGCTCTACTTTATTCAGCCACGCTCACTTTTGCACACCACACTATCTTTGCGGTGGCACTTCTGGTTAAGCAGGAATCTGATTACTTTCAGTGCAGAGTCTGAGAAAGGTTTAAGAGATTATGCTGCTAAAATCTGATATAAATGATGCAGATTTGTGTAAAATGTTCAGTGTTCATGTGACCAATTCGTCACACTGTACTGATTCTCTGGAGGTTTTGAAAAAGCTCTGTAGTCCAGATTAACACTTTGCAGTAACACCATGCTGGGATGCTCTACATGTATGTCTGTAGTGGAACGTTCAGCAGTTACCATGGTTACACAGTGCTCACTTGCCAAAGATGTTTTAAGATAGCCTGAAAATGCAAGAAAAAATAGAAAATGGATTTAAACAGCACATTTTCATTAGCTTGTGATCAATATGAGCTTTCAAGGTCCTAGTGGAATTGAAAAACTGTTGGCTGATGCTAGTTTGTGACAATTTGAGACACATTCATTTAACAGCACAGATCAGCTCACCTTGTAGTTAAACATTTATTTAACTATGCCTATTAACACCAGTCTGTTGCTATTTTTAATGCCACTTATTCAAAAACATTATTACATTTTTTATTTTTTATATTCTTAATATTTAAATACTCTTTGTTATTATAATACATTGTGATGTGTGAGCTACAGTGTCCAAGTCATTGCCACTGTAGATCAATAAAGTTTGTCTAAGTGTAAGTGTAAGTCTGAAGCTTCATTCAAATTAAAGTTTTAAGTAACAGAACTTCAGACAGAGCAGTGCCTCTAGTTAGCATCACACCCTGGGAATGTTGATAACATCAGCTGCAAAGTATCAACAGAACTTATTTCCTGTCCAAGTCACTTTCATTTCCTGACACACGGCTTGATATGAAAAACAACAACAAAAAAATGGTTTATCAATTGTAATTGTAATTATTCTTCAATATGATTTTGTCAAAAATATACAATTGAGACAGTTTAAGGGCACAAATATGATTCACCAACCAAAATTTGCATTAGTCGACTAATCTAAAGGACTAAAGGATGTAACAATAACCAAAATACCCTGATATCGTATCGTCA